TTCCCCCACCTTTCTCGGATATGATGATGATGATGGTGGTGATGATGATGGTGATGATATGGACAAGTCGGATAAACTGTAACGTCCTATATTCGGCCGTCCGTCTGTCTGTCGGTCCATGGACCAGTGCGGGGTCAGCAACCACAAACATCCCCCGAATTTGGATATCAGGCGGCTGGTAAAGGTTCCTACTCGACCCAATACTTTGAGTGCAGGAAGTGAGGAAGGGGATGAGCGACACGACCGGGGTGAGACGGGGACAGCAGGAGAGGTGATGGGCCTCCTTCTCCTTACCACCACCACCACCACCACGACCGTCACCGTCACCACCGGGTTTGAAGACGGAGGTCCGAGGCTCACATCACATCAGAGGGGACCCGAAAGGTTGGGGCGTGAATGTGTGTGAGGGGGAGAAAGAAAGGAGAGAAAGAGCGAAGGAATGAGAGAAAAAGATGTCGAAGTCCCTTACACAGGCGTAGCATGTACATGGTTCCCAGCCTTTTTGTCAACCAATCCGTAATGTGATTTGGAATCCATGTCAGCATGCATAGAAAGGAAGCCCTTCGTTTGGATCTTAAAGTGATGTGAGGCCTTGCTTTATGCATGTTGCGCCGTAACCGGAAGGTTTGAACTGATTCATTTTTTGTATGTGCCGCAAGAAGAGACAAGTGTACAAGCGCGTACATCGAAGACCATCTGGAACAAAAAAGAGCAGAAGCATCCTGTCCTAGCTTCTAGCCAAACCCTTATTACAGTGATATGTGGCGGTTACGTGAAGTGGTTTCGAGGTATCCACGGCAAATCTTTTTCAATACTACACGTTCAAGGGAAGGCCACTGTGTGCCATGTCGAATAGATTTTCCTATTTCCTTAACGCCTCAAGTTACGTGTATCCACCAACTTACAGGCGTACTCGCAGCAAAGACCTTTCACACTGTTACTTAACTGCCAGGCATGGCTTGGATATGGGTTAAATATCTGATCGAGTGTGCTGCCACTGGCGCATCCTATGGGTAGCGTGTGTAGCGTGCCAATTCGCTTTGCGGCTACCAAAAACGTGTAGCCATGTCGGCAGACAATCCCAGTACTCCCACAAGCCCTATCCTCGTCGTTGGTGCTGGAGTTGCTGGCCTACAAGCGGCCAGGGCGCTGTTGAAGCGCGGTTTGAGGGTCAGTCATGCCATGTGACCGCATTCTGCCGGGGTTTGTTTCATCAATTCCTTTTCCTAGTTGGTATAACGGCATATTTTGTCCCCTTACATATCTAATAGGAGGACGAATCAAACACCCCATGTCCCGTTTCGTGGCTTGCTGTTCGTATCCTTTCAATCCCCGCAGGTGGTTATACTTGAGCAAAGTGAAGACGTGGGTGGCGTATGGATACGAAATTACCAGGGTTATGGCCTTCAAGGCAAGCTATGACTGGCCGGATACAGATAACTATCTGTGCGCGTGATGTTAGAAACTGACCTCGGGGACTCCCTCGCGATTCGTTAAAAATTTGTCCATACGGATTGCAATCTAGCCCTCTAGCTTGCGCTCTTTCGAAGCCCGGGTAGTCTTCACGGGGGGGGCGCGCGGCTGGTTTACCTCCTATAGGCTCACGGTGCCCCATCTGCGCTCCCGCACTACGCGCCCGCGTGCTGGCCACTAGCCGCTTAAGAACACCCCTTTGATCCACAAACCTACCCCGAGATAACCACTTTCTACCTTTATTTCAAAGTCCTATGTTACTGCAAAGAACTGCGCCCTTCGTACCCCATACCTCCTCCCCTTCTTCCCTGACCCCCCGCTGTAACCCAACCCCCCAAAGCCCCACACCCACACCCGCAACCCCCCAACACACCCACACCCACATCCACACCCACACGCAGTTCCCTGGGAGTTGTACCAGTTCCCGGAGTTTCCGTACCCCCGCAAGGCAGAGCTACAGCAGTATCCCAGCGGGGACGCCGTACGTGAGTACGTCCAGGCCTATGCTCGTCACTTTGGGTTGTACCGCCACACCTTGTTCGGGTGCCGACTGGTCAGCCTGCGCAGGAAAACGAAGCAGCAGCAGCAGAAGCCGCTGCCGTCGCCGCCTCCTCCACCACCTCCACCCAAGCAGCAGCAGCAGCAGCAGCAGCAGCAGCAGCATTGCCCCAGATCACCCGTAGCGTCCGGCGGTAGCAGCTATGCGGCGGTGTACGGCAAAGACAGCCGCGGCGGCAGCAGATGCGGCTGTGCCAGTGGCGGCGGCTACAGTTTCGAAGCCGAATGCGGTGTGTGTGCCCGTGACGCCGCACCTGCAGCCGCCCAGGCCATGGCCATCTCAGACCCCTTCCCTCAGGGTAACGCCGCCGCCGCCGCCGTTGCCGCCGTTACCGCCGCCGCCGCCGCCGTTGCCGCCGTTACCGCCGCCGGCGCCGCCGTTGCCACCACAGCGGCCATCACCGCTCCCTCAACTGCGATATGTGACGCACTGACGCCGCCGCCGCCGCCGCCGCCGATCCCTACTTCCTCACCCCGGCCGGACGTGGCCCAGACAGCCCCTCATCACAATATCAGCAGCGGTGGCGGCGACGGTACGGCAGCGGTGGCTGCAGTACACGTTCGCGGCAGCAGTAGCCTCGTCTCCCTTCTTACTTCCACTCTGCGACTCCGGAACCTGTTGGGCCTTATCGCCACTCGGTCCTCCAGCAGCCAGGGGGGGCCTGGGAGCCAGGGGGTAGATCTTCCACCCGCTACTGCTACTGCTACTGCTACTGCTACTGCCGCCAGAAGGACCGCCACAGCCACCGGCAGTGCAGTGGTCGCTTTCCCCACGGCCCCAGGTACGGCAGCAGGTACGGCAACAGGTACCGGAACAGCTGTGACCATGGTTTCGGAGGAGCGGTGCGGATCGACCACTTTAGAAATCGGGAGGGAGCTGCTGTCGTCCATGACTCTGAATGAGGAAGAGGGGGGCAGCGGCGGCCACCTGGGGGGGCCCGCCACGGCTAGTGAGAGAAGTACGAGCAAAGGCAAGGAGGACGAGGGCAGCTGCGGAGGCGGTGCCCGGTGGGATGGCGTCGGCAGCGGCGCAGGGAGCGGCGGGGGAGGGGGTTATCCCCGGTGTGATGGTGAGGTGGAGAAGCGGGCCGGCGGTGGTGACGGCCGCGTGCCGGCGGCGACGTCAGCGGCGGCGGCGGCGGAGCCAAACGGCGGGCTCCCAGTCTGCGCGGCGGCCGTGTCCCCCGGTTGTGTTGCAGGTTGCAGTTCGGCACCCCGGGGGTGTTGCTGCTGGCGCTTCTGTTCGTCCTCCTACCGCGGGGGTGGAGGGCTGGCGGCGGCGGCGGNGGCGGCGGCGGCAGGAGGGGGAGGAGGGGGGGGTCGGGGATGTCAGTCCCCCGGACCGCCATGTTGCCAACAGCGGCCGGGCTGCCAGCCGCCGCCGCCGCCGACGCCGCGGAAACAACAGGAGCAGCGGCGGCTGCCTGCTGCGGCAGCAAGGGGGGCCACGCTGCCCTCCGGGGAAGCGGAATGGGAGGCAGAGTACGAGGACTTCACAACGGGCAGGCGGTACAAACTGGACGTGTCGTACTGTGTACTGTGTACGGGGCTGTGCTCCACGCCCTTTATCCCATCCATTCCGGTACGTTGGGTATATCGAGTAATACCCAGTACGATATTTAGTACGACAATAACAGCCATGATATGTGGTCATCGTTCTTGCTGTTCGTTACTATACAGTTGTCAGGCCGGGGGGAGCCGTTGGGCCATGAACCACAATCACACTGCTAACGACAACGAATCACCCCCCTCCCAACCCCCTCCCAACCCCCCCCCTCCCCCCCCCAACCCGCCCGCAGGGTCAGGCGCTGTATCGCGGTCTTCAGGTCCACAGCCGGGACTTCACGGACGCCTCCGTGGCCGCCGGCAAGCGGGTGCTGGTGGTGGGGGCGGGCAAGACGGCGGTGGACATCGTATCGGAGCTGACGGCCACCAGCCAGGCGGCGTCCGTGACTCTCCTGTACCGCCGGGTGGGGGGGAACGGGGGGGATTGGTTGTGTGTGTGTGTGTATGTGTGTGCGCGCGCGCTGGGGCGGTCGGGGGAAGTAAGTTTGGGATGTAAGAGGGGTGCGGGTGGGGAGGAGAAAAAAGGGCGGAGGGCAAAGTGTGGTGTGTTGGGTTTAGGTGTGCTGCGGTAAGCTCCCGTAGCGGAGGGGCGGGGCGGGAGGAGCGGTACGGCCCCCTTCGTCTCCGTACCTCGTCCCCGATAAAATTTCCCTTTGGCCGCCGCTGTGGAGGTGTGGTGGTACCCTCCTACACAGCTTGACACCGGGGGGGGGGGTAGTTCTTACGTTACCTGAAATCCGAAACACAACGCAAAAGTAATATTCATTCGCTTCACGCCGCGCTCCGTGCCTGCCGTACTGCTGCTGTGTCGTACTACTGCAGCCCCACTGGCCGCTACCCCGCTTCCTGGGCCCGGTATCCATCAAGACGCTCGCCTACACTCGCCTGATGCCGTCCGTACTCTTGCCGTACTATTACGACGCGGGGCCGTGCGCACGCGCAGTCGCTGGTTGCCTCACTCCGCTTCGAAAGGCGTTCTGGGTGCGCATGATGCTGCGGGTGAACCGAGCTCTGGGGGTCAAGAAGACGCTTGGGAAGCCCGCAAGGCCCATCTGCCAGGTGGGGGGACTGGGGGTGGGGTGGGGGGGAGTTGGGGGCACTGGGGTTTTCCTGGAAGGGAAAAGAGGGGGGGGAGGAAAGCGGGTGAGGCGGTTAGGTGTGGGAGTGTTGGGAGCGGTAGGCGCCGCTGTGCTTCGTTGTAACCTCCCCACCCACCCCCGGGTGCTCTAAGCTGCTGCGGATCCGCCGGCCGGCCTTCTGACGGCCCTGTATGTCTGTATATCTATCCGGGTACGGCCCTGGAGAGGTGGCCCGCGGGGCCCCAGTTCGCCTCC